ATTAGATTAATTAATTCCATACATAAAATGTACTGACAAATTAAAGTAATTTTGTGGATTCAGATGTTATTCTTGGAGAAGGAAATATTAGTTATTTTGACTAAGTTCTGATGGTTCATGGTTCATATAATTTATAATAATTATATATCTTTTACTACTGAACATATCTAAACCACGACTATGTTTCAATTAAAAAGCGAAGATTTCAAAATGAATCTAAATTGAATTTTTATTCTTGTTTCTTAAGCACGTATGTGCTAGCGCTGTTATGAGTCTTCGTGGTAATTTAATTAGTAACTAAAAGTTGGAACATAATGTGTAATTAATTTCAAGAATATGTGTGCTTGACACATTTTTGGTTAATTTTTTTATTAGAGAGGGCGACGTTCTCTGGATCGACATGAAAGTCAAGTCTTTTTCATGTTCACTTGAATTAAACAATTTTATATTAACAAACTGGCCAGACTATGACTGGAACTTGACAATCATACTGAACGACAATAGAAAAATTATATTTAATTAATATTTAATTAACTTCTGATGAGAAAGATGACTGCAGAAAAGTCATACTCTGTGTTAATTCAGTGAAAAGGAGTATATTCTAGGCTACAAAAACCATCCGGGGTAAGAATTGGTTAACAGGTATATTTTGGCTCTAATAAAATATCTCTATTAATTCTGTCTGCCAAATTAATAATTTTTTCCAAATCATCCATGTTAATTAACTGCATAAATGAAATTAAAGGACTATATATTTTTATCAATAGGATAGTTTTCAATAAAAATGATTGAAGAGGGTATCTTAAAAACATCGACACATTTTTTTTTACAAATAACAAACTTAATTATTTTTTTAATCTTTATAAATTAATTAGCTAGTTTCTATATTTAAGATGGAACAAAGTGTCATTAGTGAGATAAGGAGATCATCATGTGAAACTGTTTAATCACTTATAATCACATGTTTTATGTCTATAGAAGCCAACTCTTATGCAAACTAGCTAGCGCAATGTGTTTGACCATCATATGGATATGAAGACATGTCAGTTTTATATCCACTGAATCGGATGTAGAAAACTTTTAGATATAGAAAGGGATATTAATAATTGAAAAAGAAGGGGGGGGGGGGAGAGGAGGAAAAAGGTAGTGGCTTATTCTCTCTCTTACAGACACACTTGCTAATGGCCTTGCCTTACAATCCATTTCCCATTAAAACTATATATGAAACTGACAAAGCAATTATCTAGATCTCTATGTTCACAATATATAGCCAATAAAAAAAATATGGCATAGATATTTGAAAAGATAGATATTGTAAATTGAAAAGATAATGAGCATAAAGATCTAAACTTTTCACACATGCAGTTGTCGGTCGCTCTCTTTAAATATATTAATTAGAATAAAATATACTAACTGCCTTTTTGTTTTACTTAAACTACAAAAATTTTTTCTCTATTTTAAAAATGCATATAAACCCTTTAAAACTAAACTGTATGTTACGCAAAACTTTTTTATATATTTGAAATTCTATTTCCATCTATCAAACCATGAGTTAGTCGCTAAATTTGACTTTTAAACTTTTCTTTTAACTAAAATACCTCTCCTTAACATAAAAGTTCTTCAAACATTTATATTTGTGAAAAAAAAAAATTTGATGCAAAATTTTTTTTAATACATGTATTTTCAAACTTTCCAATATATCATGAAATTTATTGATTTTGATTATGTCATAAAATTTTATAATTTTAATTTTTCATCACAAATATTGAAACTTATTTAGTTAGGTTTCTTTTAAATGGCTACGAAATTTATTAGATACGTATTTTTTCCATCATATAATATAAATTATCTAAGTTTGACAGATTATAGAAATTATTTAAATTCATAATTTAAAATTTTTAAATAAAAATTTTGTTACAAACATTTGTAACTTATTTAGTCAATTATATCTTTATTTAAATAATAATAATTAAATTTTCATTCAAGTTTTTTATGTCTACATTCACTAAATTATTTAATTTTCTATAAAATGTGACAAAAATATAAACAGTTATTTGTAAAAATAAAAAGAATTAAGGAAAAGAAAAAAATAAATTCTTCAAAACTTTTTAACCAAGATTTAAGGATTTGGCATCATGAAGGATAAGTTAGTAAATAAAAAGAATTTTAATATAAATTTTAATTAAAAAAGTATATTTTTAGAATATTCTTAACAAAGTTAATGTTTTAAACTTAAGTATATGTTTTTAAAATAGATAGAATGTCTATGTAACTAGGGTAAAATACAAGGAAGGACAGAGTATTTTACTCAATTAATTATGATCATGCAGTAATCAAAGTCTACTTCTCTTATTAAAAAAATCAAGTTATATTTCAAAGAACATAGGTCTTTTATATATACACTCTTTCCGTCCTTAATGGATAATCTATTTAACTAATTTGATTAGATTAAAAAATTAGATAAGTTAGTTAATTATAATAAATATAATATGTTTTTCTAAAACATTTGAATAATCTTCTTTAATATCTCCCTCTCTCCCCTGCTTCATTGTGATTAAGAGAGTATTATGAGGGATTATTTGGAAAAAATTAATAAATATGAAAAATAAAAGTCTTTTATTTAAGATCAAAATTAACTTCACAATTATATTTTATATTAAGAATAGAAGGAGTATATATCTATATATATCTACACACATATATATGGAATTATTGTACTTTGAATACCTATAAAGAATCCCTAAATGACGTCCGGGTTCTTCTAGAGGCCAGCTCATAAAAATTCTTCATCATAAGATAATTTATTGCAAAACATGAAAAGGGTTGTCTTCTCTGACTTTTGACTATCGTTATTATATTCATATATAAATTAACTTTCAGCTCATGAAAATTACTTGATTCACTAATTAATACCACCTCCGGTCCTAATTATAATTAGGACCGGAGGTGGTATTAATTAGTGAATCAAGTAATTTTCATGAGTTTATAAACAGAGTTTTATAATTAGAACAAGAGGTAGTAATAAAGTAATGGTTCATGAAGGTACATGTGTTAGATTTGATGGAGCCACAAACAATAACCAATAAGGATTATATTGAGCCTTTCAACTTTAGTGTTTGCCAAAAGAGATTAATTATTTTAGGAGCATTACGTTTGCTACTTTTTACCAAAACAGAGATATGAAGTTAGGTCACCTCAAAATACATCATTCTGTTGAGATTAATACAATTTACCAGTTCGAATTAATTTCGTGTACCAGAGTATATGCATGTTGGCATGTTTTTATACGTTATGCATGTGATCAGGAAAGATTACCAATTAAATTTTAAGAGATATATTGACTATTTTTCAGGGATGAATGAACTGTAAGTAAATAATTAATTATTAATGATAAGATAAGGTCCTACATATCTGGCTCATAAAGTTCATTGTAATACTGATAATTTTAATCACACAAGAATTATTAATTTGTATTATGTGTTTAACGTATACAAATTTTATTTTTTGTATAGGAACCATCGGCTAAGGACAACACTTTAGATCAAGTTTTTTAATCACACAAAGCCATATGTCTTATTTCACATTTGACCTTGTGTAAGTGCAGAAATCGACAAAATAGATATAAAAAAACATGACCTAATTCGTCCATTAGATATATTCGCTGAAACCCTGAAGGCAATATTCTCCACCATCAATGTATTTTGATATTTCTCACTGTTATTTTCCTTTTGTTTTATTTTTGCTTGGAAAACGATATCATATTGCTCCTATTAGATGAAGTGATATTACTGCTTCAACGCTAATGAAAAAACAGGTTTGATTGAAAGTTTGCAGATTAATATATGGAATATTTTGCTGAAGTTTTAATCATTCTAATGTATTTATACTTATATGGTGATGAGTGCCACTCCTATAAAAAAAAATCCATTAAATTGATAATTTTTTTTTAGACTTTACCTTTATTAAAAAATTTTCTGTCCCTGCATTTATAAATTATTGTCACATATTTGTCCTCTTCGTTCCCAATTAAAATTAAATAAAAGTAAAATTAAAAAGCCATCATTAAATACCCTACAAGTGATTTATATTTTGGATAAAAAATTTTCTTCACAAAACGTAATTTATAATAAGGATTGGAGTTGTAACATTCTAAATATTATTTTTTTTAAAAATTATCATTTCAAAAAAATAATTAAATAATATAAAATAATAATATTTTATTAAAAAAAACACACACACCCAGCTTTTCCACCGAAATAGGTGGAGAAGCTGAGGGTGATTAATGAGGGAGGTGTATTAATGAAAAAAGGAAAAATAGAGGAGGACAGTTGAGTGAGAAGGATAAATAAGAGGAGGGAGTACTATACAGAGAGAAAGAGAGAGAACAAGAATCAAAGAACAAAGAGAAGCAAAGTATTAGCATTTTGAAAGGTAATATAAGCTTTGGAGATCATTTATGTACATAAAAATGGTTTTATAATTATATATTAAGAAGAGATTTTTTCAGGAGTGGTATTATTCTATATCTTTATCCCAATATCTCCCACTACTGTTTATGTGTATACATTCTCAAGCTCTCATGTACTATATCCGGTCCTAATTATAAAATCTTATTTGTAGACTACAAATAAGTTCTTATAAAGTAGTATCATTCATGTTATTGCATTTGTCCGTTGCTTTATACACAATGTAGTCATTCTTAAATGTACGCACACCCAAAATTTATTTATTTAGAAGTTCTTAATCAGCACAAACTTATGATGCAGAGTTCAGTACAGAAGTTCACATGAGCAGTACGCTACATTTATACTAAATTACACAGGCAACCACACTTGCCTTATTTGTAAATTATAATTATTTGATTTACCTGAGAGCCTCACTTTTAATTAACTTATGTCTCCTAAATTACTATATTACGTCTGGTTCTAATTATAAGACCTCATTTATAAACTATAAATAAGGTTCTATAATTAGAACCGGAGGCAGTACTCTTCATCAAGAGTGAAGATCTTATATATTATTTAGATGAGTTATTTATTTATGAGTTCTTTTATTTATTCATTATATCCTGAAGTAATCAGTCTGAGACTTATTATCCACTTGCTTGTTGAAGAACTTGTGCATGTAATCCTTGTAGGTGACACGTCGGTAGCGAGGTGGGTCCCCTGCTGACGTCAGCTCTTCCAGAGGCCCATACATATTCTCTGCAGCTCCCGGGTTGAAGAACGTCGCTATTGAAACTCTTGCCTCCCGGCAATTACTTGCCAGCACCCTGTGATCCACGCTCTTGTATTTCTCATTCGATATTATCTGTCCAATTTAATTAATTAATCACCCACTTCAAATTTCATTATATACTACCTCCGTTCCTTAATATAATCGTTTGACCTTTATTTTGATCTTGAATATGAAATCCAATTCACTTTGTCTCTTATATTTATCTATTTTTTTTCAAGATAGTCTTTGTAATAATGATAGTTCTAGCTAATAGACCTGATTAGCAATGATAGTTTAATTAGAAAAGATAACACTAATTTATTACAAATAACTAACATAACTAGTTTTTTTAATCTACTCAAATTAGTCAATTAGCTCTTATATTAAGATACTACCTTTGGTCCTTAATATTAGAGCTAGTCGACTAATTTGAATAGATTAAGAAAATTTGTTGAGTTAGTTATTTATAATAAATGGGTATTATCTTTCTGAGAATATCCTTGCTAATCATGTGTATTAGCTACAACTACCATTTGCTGCAATCCTTAGCATGTGTAATTACTATAAGAGCATAAGGATTAATACTTTAGAAAAAAATAAATAAATATGAAAGACAAAGTAAATTTGAGTCTTATACTTATGGCCAAATTAAAAGTCAAACTAACTTTTATATTAACAACTAGAAGTAATACTTTTCCAATCCTAAATATAAGACTCTTATACACACTTGTATAAGGGTCTTATATTTAGGATCGGAAGGTTATTATTATCTTTGAATAGTCTACATATAAACCTCCACTCTTGATATAGCGTAAGCTTTAGTTCTTGACGTCTGTATATATAGATAGATAGATACATGTACCTGAAGCAAGTCTCCAATGTTGACAACTAGGGCTTCACGGACAGGTTTCACGTCAACCCAACCTTCCTTGTACTTCACCTGAAGCCCTCCCATGTTATCCTGCAGCAGCACCGTCAATATCCCCGGGTCGGTATGGGACCGGAACCCGATCGTGAGGTCCGGCTGAGGGCAATACGGGTAGTAGTGACCCGACAGAGTCACCGCTTCTCCAAATGTCAGCTCCTTAAACTTTCCTCTGCTCAGCCCTAAACCTTCACTCAACAGTTCCAGCAACAGATCCTTCACCGGCAGAGTTCTCTCGTTGTAATCAATCAGCCGTTCCCGACACACCTCCGGGATCTCCTCCGGGTTGATCGGAACTGGCCCGAACTGTATCAGAAGTGTGTCCCTCCAGTATGCAGCATTTGAATGGTACAAGTCCATGTTTGACCTGAGAGACACTCCCTCCATCTCTCTCTTAAAGAGTGGAGCCTTGACCTCAGCCGGCAGCTCGTGGACGGCCTTCATGGCGGCGATGGCCCGGTCTAGGACTTCAACCGGGATACCGTGGTTGATAACCTGGAAGAAGCCGACGGTGGAGGCCGCACGCTTGACTTGCTTCACCACAGCACTGCGACGGTCCGGGGAGTCAACGCCGGCAAGGTCGATGGTGGGGATTTCGGCGCCAGTGAAGGGAGAGGGTTTGAGGGTGGCTAAAACTTCTGGTGGGTTAACGAACATGGCAGGGATAGTGGTGATGCCGGCATCAGCAAGGCCTTTAACTCCGGCCTTGGACTCATCAAATTGCTTCACCTCTTTCATTCTCTCGTAGGTCTGGTTTGAATCACTGGTTACAGTAGGCGGAGCCATAATATGAAGGGATATAAATGAAAGGAGAGATAGGAGTAAACGGATCTAGAGAGAGAGAGAGAGAGAGAGCGCAGATTGGTGTGTGATTCCTTACTTTGCAAGTCTAGGCTATTTATAATGGGGGCGGGGGTGCTATTTTTGAACATCAGACTGCTATTTTCATAATATATAAATCAATTAGTCAGCAACGGATATTCATATTAATCAATCTATTAATGGTCTCATACATTTTCTTTTATTTTTTTTCTCATTTAGTATACGAATATCTTTGGAAACAAAAATATGCTTATTACTTTAACTAAATTTTTATTATATCTAAATTAGTGAGAGTAACTTTTTGTTTTGCACCAAAAAAGAATTACAATGGCGCTTACAATTAAAATAATCTGCATTGAATTACAATTTATTAGTCATAAAATCTTTTTGACATTATTTTGAATAATTCCATCTATAAAATAAAAGGTACCGGCAAATTAATTTTGTGGAATCAGATGTTATTTGTGGACAAGGAAATATTAGTTATTTTGAGAAAATTCTGATAGTTCATATGATATATATCTTATTACTGAATAAATCTATACATTCTATTAATTAAAAAGCCAAGATTTCAAAACGAATAAAAATTGAATTTTTGTTCTTGTTTATTAACTATATGTACTTGCTGTTATGAATTTTGTTCGCAACTCAATCCAAAAAGATTGATACATAATTTGTAATTAAGTTCAAAGAATGTGTATATATATATTTGACAAGTTTTTTAATTCGTTTCATCTTTTTAATTGACAATGACTAGCCAAATAGAAAGTTAAAAAAAAAAAAGTTACATACTATTAATATTAAAATATAACGATGTGTGTAAGTGTTTAAAATTTTAATAATGTGTTTAATCTGAAAAAAATCAACTAAGTCAGTTAAAAGGTTCATCATATCCAAAAGAAAATCACATATCGATCGTATGTGTTTTGCTCTTACCAGATATACCCGCACAAGCTATATAATAATGTTTCCTAATTAAATATCTTTGAATTATTAAAGATGCTTTCATCAGTGAAAAATTAAAATGAAAAAAAAATTATAAATGCCCAGTTTCTAAATCACATACTTTTTACCCAAAAAAAAAAGTTATACTCTTCTTATCCTATTCATAGGTAAGAGAGAAAGAATTTTTTTTTTTGTTCTATTTAGAGGATAGAGAGAATTTTTTTCTTATGAATGCACAATTTTACTGTGCAATTATTACTGTTTTGACTTTATTCTTATGAAGTATAATGTTTATTAAATAGAGATAAAAGTTGTTAAATTTTAAAGCAAAGTTAATAAAATTTCAGTTTCTTTTTATACACATAAAATATGTTGAAAGTGACTCATAGATAGGATCATAAAAGTGTATTTTAAAGCATGTAAATTCAAACTTATCATCCCCATCCATACCCTAGAGCTTAAAATTGACCATGAAAGTTTGTATTCCACTACTTTATTGGGGAAAAAAAAGATAATGTACCTAGTTAAGAGTGCGACTAATGATGAGTTTATTCAGTTAGTTTATAAAAAAGTAAAAAAAAAAATAGCTGAGTTACAATTAGAAGCTTAATTTCTGTCAAAAAAATAATTAGAAGCTTAATTCAATTAATTTGAAAGTCTTATGGCCCGTTTGCTTCATTAAATCATAAGTTATATGTAATGTAATAGGAGGGAATGTAATGTAATATAAAGATGATTACAATACGTTTGTTTGGTTTAATATTAGAAATCTCAAAAACGTAATAATTTTTATATTAATTTTAATAATTATAAAAACAAAAAAGCCTAAAATATCCTTATCACATTTTTTTCTTACCCCCTTCCCTTCCATGATCGCCTTCCTCGTCCTCCTTTTTCTTCATTGCTTGTTGCCATAACCAATGTCTAGAAACATAATCAAAACAAAATAATTCGAAAGGCTAAAAACAAAAATGAAATCATTGGGTGGAAGACAAAAGAGGAATTAGGACTACAGCAACAAACGAGGTAGAAGGCTACTAAAGTTGATGTATATTGCCGGTCCTAAATGTCATTAATATGTTTCGTTGCCTTCTGATCCAAATGAAAAGGGTCAAGTGTTGTCATTATCTAATTGATTCATTGCTTAATAATTTGTAAGGCCAAAAAAGTTTGTTCAAGTGAGTAGCTGTGGCTTTTTTTTGCTGCTACTATTTTACCCACTTTTTCTAGTTTCTTTGTTCATGGTTTTCACTTGAAGTTGTTTCCATGGGAGGTATTTACTAAGGATTCAGGATGGGTTTTGCAAGATCTACATGGAAGACCCAAACATCTCGATTCCTAAACTTAATCACCATTGTTGAGTGGGGAGGTTGATGGTGGTGGCGAAATTCATGAATAGGAGTTTAATGAGTGGCGGTACTCATTAGGAATGAAGCTGTGACACCCATAATGATAAAGCTCCATGGTGGTAATGGAAATGGAGGGAGGAGGAGGATAGTGGATGAAGAGATGCGTGAGTAGGTGGATGTGTGGTCAGGAAGACTATGGAGGAGGGGGGCAAAAAATGTCTTTTTACCATATTCCCACATATTGTAATCCTTATTGACATATTCCACCAGTGTAATCCTCTTTACATTACTTTAGGTAATCAACATTACAAAATGTAATCATGTTTACATTATAAAAGCCAAACCAAACAAATGAATCAGCCTTTTATATTAGGATTAAATGTAATCTTGATTCTTGTAATCTAATCAAATGTGCTATTAGAAAAGATTAAACACCTATTCTGTCAAAACGATTTTTACAAAGTGAACACCTTTTAATTTACATTATTGTGCGAAAATTTGCACGTTGTCATGGAAATTATGAATATTAATATATGACAAAAATATCAATTTGGTGAAGTTACTATTAAGAATTTAAGATGGTTAAAATATTGCGAACAAAACTCTTCCAATTATTATCATTTTTTTAAAAAAGGTTAATTTTATAATTAACTGCTTTAAGTTTGAATGTCTGCTAACAATCTCCCTCCCTCCCTTCCTCTCTATAAATATATATAATGTTAGGAATTTTGAATGTAACTACGAAATATTGAACTTCAAACAAAACATTTTTCTGGCCATAAAAAAAATATCTTTTATGGTTTCTATATTGACAGTATTCTACTGCTTCTTGTTTTTTTTTTTTTTGGACCGGAAGTATTCTACTGCTTCAACTTTGAATGATGTATGGTGCAACCTTTTGTACATTTAAAATGTTAGAAATTTAGAACGTAACCACAAAATATTGAATTTGTCAATATCAAAGTTTATGCCCTTACGTTTGAGCCCTAAAATTTTGTTCCGATATTTCCTATTGTAACATAAATTTGAAATAAAAATTAAAGAAAAAGAATAACTTGATGTCTTTTAAATAATATTTAAAATTTAAAATTTCTAAGTAAAATAATTATCACCCATTTAATTAGATAATTGATAGTGAATATCAAATAATTAGAAAAACATGATAAACTTTTATAACCCAAAATTGCTCCTGACTTGTATATACACTTGTCAGATAAAGAAAACGTTTAATTATCTCTTTCAATGGACACTATTCGATTATTTGATAGCATCTAAAAATAATATTTAATTTTTTAGTTTTTTTAATATAACTCATGTTATCCTCAAGTCATTTTGAGTTTGAAATTAATTTCTGTCGTATCGAGAGTATTAAAAGTAAAGCTCTTTCAACAAGTACTATTTTTAAGATTTGAACTTGTGTTCTCCTTTTTTATAAGGTGAGACAATTTACCATCTAAAAATAATATTTAAATTTTAGTTATTAATTGCATCATATTAAAAGCAAAATGCGAAAATTATCTATAAATTCTAAGTAAGAAAATTTAATATAGAGAGATCACAATACATTAATTTTTTTCTCAAGTTTTATAAATTTAACTTATAAATGACACAACTCGACCAGTAAATATAAAAGTTTGATTTATAAATATAAATCGTTAAATTTGATTCATACATATGCAAGTTTGACATATAAATATATAAATGTAATTAAAAAAAGTATAAATTTTTTAAACAATTTTCTCAAAACAAAATAATTTTCTTGGCAGGTCTCCTCCTACCATCACGTGCTACCTAATACGACCTGCCTTCGAGGAGCCCAGCTCACTATTGTATACATTTGGAAATGTTATTTTTCTTTTGCATCATGATTTTAATTTAATTATAACTTAGTTATCCAACTCTGATTCAATTATATAATTTAGTTGTCACAAAACTTAGTTTTTATTATAAAGACTAATATTTTAAATAATTAAAATTATAGAAATTGAACTGTATGTGGCGAGTTAAAATTTAAAAACTAAATTAAAACTGAGTTAAAATTATAATAATTAAATTATATTGAATTAAAGTTGTTTACAACTGAGTAAAAATTATATGGACTAAAAAAATTAATTTTTATTATATATTTTAACAGAGTGATTTATTAGAGACTTTATATTTGATATTAACATTGATAATATATACTTACGAATTCGAAAGATACATATATCTAATCAGAGGACACTGTCCTCAGCAAAAACATACGAAAATTTCAACTCAAACAAAATTCTGTTAGCTTGAATTCATGGCTCAATTTTAGGTTGACATTTGAAATTCATATACAAACTGCATTTCTAAGCTTTTTTTTTTTTTTCCCGGGGGAACATATCTTATAAGCTGAATTGAAAAAGGAACAAAATACTTTCATGGGTTGAATAGTAGCATCGTATAAGTGTTTCAACTCGAAACACCTGGCCTTTGTTGAAAATACTTAAAAGTCGTGGATCATACGCCGTCGTATGATGTGAGACTTAATTAAATGCTCTCGTTTAATAGCACGGTAAGTTCTGATGTGACAAGGATTATATACTTTTGGGGGTTATGAAAATTATTTAAATCTGAACAACATTCTACGCCGTTGAAAGTCATAATGTCTTTGGATGATAGTCCATTAAGTGGTAAATGTTTCGGCGGAAAAAATTAAGTGGTAAGCATTGTGCATTTGACATTTTTGCCTTTGTTGAAAAGTACGATGTTTCAAAATTGTCATTACTATTTCAGATATAAGCGAATTCATTGGTTTGACTTATATGTGATTTGATCTAGAGGCTTGCCACAAATGATATACTATTATTATATTGTCATTATTTTAAAGGAATATCTTATTCTTAATTCTTATAACATCATTCAAATTTAATCTTCTCTCTTCTATTATCTAGGTTGAGGTGTTCAAAATTATTTCCTAAATTCAGGCTTTATAATTTTTGAATTAGTTAATTAATTGACAAAAATAAATCCGGATTAGGTGTTTCTTGAGTCTAATATTCCGTTTGGATAAGAAGAAAAGTTGGGAAGAAGAAAAGTTGGAGGAGAAAAGAATGATGAGAAGAGAAAATGTTATCAACCCTATTGTTTGGATAGATAAAATAAAGGGAAAATGACAGATAAAGAAGGTGGAATATCTGAAATTCCAATTTGGGAAGCTAAGCAAATGTAATGACAATGAGGGAAGTACTTCCCAAATTGGAATTTTGAAATTCAGTGAAATGACAAAAATGCCCTTTGTCTTTTTTTTTTTTTTTAAAAAAACACCCAACCTCTCACCGGTGGCCGGTGGCCGGCAACCGCCGCCGGCAATTGGCCGCCGCCGACGGCCGCCACCGGGCGCCGCCGCCAGCGGCCGGTGTGGTGGCTGCCGGTGGAAGTTTTTTGTAATAGTTTTTTTTGTGTGTGGGAGAATATTACAAGAAGTGGTAGGGGTGGGATTTGATCCCATGACCCCTTGGCCATTTGGGCCAACAAAAGGACAGATGACCATTGGGCCATCAAAGACTTCTTAGCTTTATAATGCAAACAAAAATATAAGTTGACTCTTTTACTGTGACTCCAGCCCGTGACAATAATTTACCTCAGGATGACAAGTCTTAATTGAGAAATAACAAGTCTAAATTTGATATTAACAAAGCGACTTTTCCTGATACATAATAAGAAGTAACGGTATATTAATTAAAAATGACAGTTTATTTGAATATGACACGTCTTTACTGAAAAATGACACGTCTAAACGTGAGATTAACAATATGCCTTTTTTATATATATATAACAAGAAGTAGCATGTACATTAATTAAAAATGACCATAATTTATTTGAAAATGACACATCTTTACTGAAAAATGACAAGTCTAAACTTGAGATTAACAATGTGTCTTCTCCTGATACATAACAAGAAGTAGCATGTACATTAATTAAAAAGTAGCATTAACAATATGTCTTCTCCTGATACATAACAAGACATGTCATTTTCAAATAAATTATGGTCATTTTTAATTAATGTACATGCTACTTCTTGTTATGTATCAGGAGAAGACACATTGTTAATCTCAAGTTTAGACTTGTCATTTTTCAGTAAAGATGTGTCATTTTCAAATAAATTATGGTCATTTTTAATTAATGTACATGCTACTTCTTGTTATATATATATAAAAAAGGCATATTGTTAATTTCACGTTTAGACGTGTCATTTTTCAGTAAAGACGTGTCATATTCAAATAAACTGTCATTTTTAATTAATATACTGTTACTTCTTATTATGTATCAGGAAAAGTCGCTTTGTTAATATCAAATTTAGACTTGTTATTTCTCAATTAAGACTTGTCATCCTGAGGTAAATTATTGTCACGGACTGGAGTCACAGTAAAAGAGTCAACTTATATTTTTGTTTGCATTATAAAGCTAAGAAGTCTTTGATGGCCCAATGGTCATCTGTCCTTTTGTTGGCCCAAATGGCCAAGGGGTCGTGGGATCAAATCCCACCCCTACCACTTCTTGTAATATTCTCCCACATACAAAAAAAACTATTACAAAAAACTTCCACCGGCAGCCACCACACCGGCCGCCGGCGGCGGCGCCCGGTGGCGGCTGCCGGCCGACGGCGGCGGCGCCCGGTGGCGGCTGCCGGCCGACGGCGGCCAATTGCCGGCGGCTGGCCACCGGTGAGAGGTTGGGTGTTTTTTTTAAAAAAAAGACAAAGGGCATTTTTGTCATTTCACTGAATTTCAAAATTCCAATTTGGGAAGTACTTCCCTCATTGTCATTACATTTGCTTAGCTTCCCAAATTGGAATTTCAGATATTCCACCTTCTTTATCTGTCATTTTCCCTAAAATAAATAAAAAAGAAAAAAAGAGTAAATATTTAAATAATTAAAATATTCTCATCTCTATATTAAAATATATAATGTTTAAAATTAAATTAAAGATTAACAATGAAAAAATATACAGGCATTAACATGATCAAATAATTTAAAGAATTTTGTAAAAACGTTATTTTTTTTAAGATAAAAATAAAAAGTGAATAAATTTTTAAAATTAAATATAATAAAAAAATACATTGTTCAACATTATTAATAAATAATAAAAATTTAATATAAAATAAATTACATATTTTCTGTCACTAAAATTTCTGAAATTGAAAGATCCAAATCCTACAGGAAAACAAAAAACAAAAGAAAAAGTCCAGAATCCTTTGCAAAAATAATTAAATAAACAAAAATTGTAATGATTTTTTTACTGTTATTTTTGGGAAAAAAATTATGCGAGAAGATTAGAATGAATTGTAATGTACGTTGAAGGTTAAAAAAAAATTGGCATGTAGAACGCATGGTTTCAGCACCTCACAGATGTACCACCTCTAGTATTAGTTATAAGAACTCGTTTATAGGCTATAAACAAGGTCTTATAATTAAAAACGGAGGTAGTAGTACTTTATAAACGAGGTTTTATAATTAGGACTGAAGACAATACTAATTATTAATGAAATAAAGGAGACCAGCACAACCGTAGAAGTGGCATGTTAATTTTTTTTCTGATATTATTTCCGTTCATGGAGAAAAAAAAAGTTAAAAAAAAAGTGAAGTAGGTTCCACACGCTATTTTCTCTTTTACTTTTTTTTTTTATTCTCACTTCTTCTCCTTTATTTAAATAGTAAAAAAAACTCATTTCTCTCTCTCTCTTTTTTCAGTTTTCTTGTTTTTCTTATTTTTTTCTCCATCCAAACAAGGGATAAAAGTGGGCATCTATTTTAATTAAAAAAGGTATAATTAAATATACAGATAACACTATATTCTATTGGTGGCACAAAATAAACCAAAAAATTGCCAAAAAGAAAACAAATCACAATTTAGCACTAATTAGAGGACTAAACAATATAATCATGCGCTTATCACTAACTAAGAGTATATCCTTTGTTAGGTTCAATTAAGGATGATTCTCTTTATAGTATCACCTCCAGTTTTTAATATAGGAGCTAAATAATTAATTTGAAAATATTCAAAAAATTATTTTTTGGACTAAAATTCAAAAAATTAATTAAGTTAGTTGATAATGACATATGCGTGTTGATTTCCTGAACCACACTTTTCAATTATGCGCAGTAAAACTATCATTTGATAAAAACTTCTTACGATCAATAAAGATATTTTAAAAAAAATTACAAATTTAATAAACAAAATAGATTAAGAGTTTATATTTAAAATAAAATTCAATTTCTAACTAGTTTTATATTAAAGAGAGAAGGTTGTATTATAATTTAGACAATAAATTACCTATTATTTTCTGACAAAAAAAACCTATTATTGATTTGACTGTTTTAAATATGGATATCCTTTAAGAGACAAACTTGTAAATGCTAAAGCATCATGCATATATTTGACAACAGTAATAGCGGTGGCAAAAAAACAATGATATCGATCACATTTAAAATGGTTTAAACCATAAAAACTTAATCACAAATTTCTAAAATATAAAGATGAAATTAAAAGTGGAGAGAAAGATAGGAACATAAAAAGTTAGATTATATATATTAAATCACGAACAATTTATGCAATATACAACACTTTTGGATTCAAAAAAGCAGTGAATGTGTAGAAATGATTCAGATCCTAAAGAAATTAGTGAGAGATTTGCCATCCAGCTCCTTCTTGAAGAACCTTGCCAGGAACTCGTTCAACGTGAAGTTCCTATACTTGGGGGGATTCTCCTCAGATGTGAGCTCTGGCAGTGGCCCATAGACATCCTCTCTGGCACCTGGGTTCAGGAAGACTGCCACCGACACGCGTGGCTCCTTCGAACAATTCGCCAACACTCTGTGCTGCGCACTCTTGTATTCCTCATTCGAAACAATCTGATCCACAAACCATCTTATCATTAATCACAGAGGAATGAACATCTCTATATTTCATTTCACTGGCTACGAAAAATGGAATGATTTTATTCAGATTCCTTTCAACTATTGATATTGTTTGAATTGGAAGGATTAAGAGTTGAGGGCAATAAAGGCCTCAAAATATTATTAATTCTCAAATAAAAAAAAGTATAAATAAACCTCTATATAGACAAGTCATAAGCTAATAAATTAACCCTAAAATCTTATCTTACCCTATCCAATCACAATCCCTCGGATTTATTTTTCTAAAATAATAAAACATGGTAATATAATATTCAAATATAGCCCTATATAATAATTCTAAATAATTGAGTGATTAATACAACATAATATTAATTAATTAATTCTAGCATATTTTTACAGTATACCTTTGAATTAGATCTTCTAATATGCACAAGTGTGATTACAATGAGCAGAAATTTGAATCTTCTGAAGTGATTTGATGGGTTTTTAGGGTGAGTTCAAAGTTCAACGATATTCATATTACAGCAAGCATAGGGTTTTAAATTGGCTTTTTGAGCCAAATGCTACAAACAGTAATTTTAATTACCAGGATACTACACTGTGAAAATTATTTACCAGCATACTACATCCAAAATCGTTCAAGGCAAGTGTGATTTTAAAAATACACAAAACTCGTTCTTTGAAAGAACGAGTTCTGCAGCTTCATTTTTTTTTAAAATAATTTTTTTTGGTAAAAAAGCCTGCCGCCCACTCCCTATGGCTTGACCCTCCCTTTCTGCACCCCATCCCACTCCCCTCAAACATTTTCCTTCCCCCTTCACTTTTTCCCTCATTCTCCTGTATACACACGCACACACATCACAAATTATTATAATTTTAATTTATATATAATATGATATATTTAAAAACTAAAATTAAATAAATTAATTAACACATATAATTCTTATTATAAAACCCAGCTAACTAATTTAAAAAAATTAAAGATATTATTAAAAATACATGTAATATATGCTAAAGCCATCACGTAATGTATGTTATAATTAAATACTCCTCCGGTCCTTATTATAAGACCCAATTTGACTTTTTATTTGGTCCTAATTATAAGACCCAATCCATTTTCTCTCTTATATTTATATATTTTTTTTCCAAGATAATCCTTCTAATAATGATAGTTTTAACCAATATACTTAATTAGAAAGAATATTTTAGGAATAACAACACTTATTTATTATAAATAACCAACTTAACTTACTTCCTTAATCTCCTCAAATAAGTCAATTGGGTCTTATAATTAGGACCGGAGGAGTATTTAACAATTTTCTTAATCATATAAGATATGCTATAATTAAATAATTAAATAATTTTTTAATCTTCTTAAATTAGATAACTATGTTTTATAATAAGAATTGTATGTATTAATTAATTAATTTAATTTTAGTTTTTAAATATATCATATTATATATAAGTTAATTAAAGATATCACTAAATTATCTAACTATAGTATATGTTACATGATTCCTTTAAATTGTTATATGTATTAATTAATTAATTTAATTTAATTTTTTAAATATATCATATTATATATAAGTTAATTAAAGATATCACTAAATTATCTAACTATAGTATACGTTACATGATTCCTTTAAATTGTTACTACCTTTGATCCTCAGTATAAAACATAGTTATCTAATTTAAGAAGATTAAAAATTTATTTAATTATAGCATATCTTATATGATTAAGAAAATTGTTAAATTATTTAGTTATAACATACATTACGTTATGGCTTTAGCATATATTACATGTATTTTTAGTAATATCTTTAATTTTTTTAAATTAGTTAGCTGGGTTTTATAATAAGAATTATATGTGTTAATTAATTTATTTAATTTTAGTTTTTAAATATATCATATTATATATAAATTAAAATTATAATAATTTGTGATGTGTGCGCGTGTGTATACGGGAGAATGAGGGAAAAAGTGAAGGGGGAAGGAAAATGTTTGAGGGGAGTGGGATGAGGTGCAGAAAGGGAGGGTCAAGCCATAGGGAGTAGGCGACAGGCATTTTTACCAAAAAAAATTATTTTAAAAAAATGAAGCTGCAGAACTCGTTTAAAGAACGAGTTCTGTGTATTTTTAAAATCGCACTTGCCTTGAACGATTTTGAATGTAGTATGCTGGTAAATAATTTTCATAGTGTAGTATCCTGGTAATTAAAATTATTGTTTGTAGCATTTGGCTCAAAAAGCCGTTTTAAATTAGTTTGTCTTTTAAATTTACCAAAAAAAAAAAGAATGCTCCTTCTGTTTTTAAAGTCAATGAAAGTTTCTTCTGAAAAATTATACAAAATTCTCTTCCATTCTCCAAAGCAACAAACCTTCCTTGATGAAATTCCGTTACCACCTCAAAGCCATGCGGAATGAAATAAACAATAAGGGTATAAATGTAAAACAGAAGAAGAAAAGCCTCCGTACCTGAAGTAAATCGCCGATGTTGATAACCAAAGCTCCAGGAGGCGATCTCACATCAATCCAGTCATCGCCGTTTCTAACTTGCAATCCTCCGATGTGGTCCTGAAGAAGAATCGTCAACGCGCCTGGATCCGCGTGAGTGTTCAGCCCCACCGTGAGATCAGGCTGAGGGCAATTCGGGTAATAATGTCCCACCATCATTCTTCCCTCGTTGAACGTCATCTCCTTCAACCTCTCCCTCTTCAATCCCAGACCTTCGCTCAGCAATCCCATCAACATCTCTCCCAGCCGTTCGATCTGCCGGTTCCACTCCATCAGCTCCGCCCTACACACCTCCGGAACCAGGTTCGGGTCTTCTACGGGAGGGTTCAGCTTTACCTGCAGTGTGTCCCTCCAGCTCGCGGCCTGTGAACTGTACAAATCTACGTTTGATATGAAGTTCACGCCGGTCGTCGGCACCCTGTGGTACAGTCGCGCCTTGATCTCCGTTGGTTGTTCGTGGAACGCCTTGACGGAGGAGATTGTGCGGTCGAGGACTTCCAAGGGGATGCCGTGGTTGATGATCTGAAAGAAGCCGACTGTGGAGGCGGCGGAGCGTATTTGGTCTACGACGGCGGAGCGGCGATCGGGGGAGTCGACGTTGACGACACCGGAGAGGTCGATGGTTGGGATTTGGGACTCGCTTCCTGGACGGGGTTTGAGGTCGCATCGGGAGTCAGGAGGGAAAACGAAGAAAGGAGGGATGGTGGAGATGCCGGAGTCCATGAGGCCTTTGACTCCGACTTTGGATTCGTCGAACTCCTTGACCGCTTTGGCTCGATCATAAGGCTGTGAAGAATGACCGCCGGCTGCGGTGATCGGAGATGATGCCGTTGCCATGGAAATTGAAGAAGGTGAAGATACAAGCTTCGCGAAAATTGTAGGTCGGCAATGTCAATACGGTTTTGGACCGTGAAGTGCTGAACTTGATTGAACAGTGCAGTTGCGTATTCAATTAAGAAAAGACAATCGGTTGATTGTATTTTTTTAATATAATTAAGAGTATTTTTTTTTTGCTAAAAAAAAATATAATTAAGAGTATTTTAAATCACTTTAAATTTGAGATTAATTTTTATTATGTTGGAAGCATAAAATGAAAGCTTTATCAATAAATGTATCTTTTCAAATTCAAACTTAGTATTTTTCTTTGGAAGCGATATAGCTTACCATGTTGGTCAATTAATTGATTGTATTTGTTATTAAGAAAGTGTTCAGGTAAAAATCAAAGCATAATTTTAAAAGTAATTTTATAATATGTGAAATAAATTTGTTTTCTTTACATCAAGTAGTTTTAAAAATATAAATATAAATTTGTTTTCTTTATATAATTATTACATTAAGTTATGTCCTTTATAGTAATTTACATATGAGAAAGTGATTCTGATAATAACTATCTAAACATTCTATTTCATCACAATTATTTTTTCATAAAATATATTTTTTAAAAATCTATTCTCAAAATAATTTTATTCAGAAGCTATTTTTTAAATTATAATTTGATTTTATCCAAACAATTTCTTATTTATAAACAGCATACCTCGGTATTTATTTAATTATTTATATTAAAAACTACTATCATTTTATAATAGTAGGTTCATATTTATTTGATTATTCATATGAAAAATTACTATCGTTTTATAATAGTATCTATCTGCAAAATTGACATCTTAAAATTTATATTTAATTAATTTTTATACTTAAGATGGAGTGAGTAATTATAATTTGGGAAAACCTCAGAAAAAACCATCAAAATAAAAAAATTGCACACAAGAATCTGTTCACAAAAATTGTTGTCAAAATCCATATTGATATTATCATGAGTTCTTATTTATAATTTTTCTATTTTGATGGTTTTTTAAAATTATTTTTTCTTTTAATTTTAGCATTAGATTTACATTTTTTTCGAATGTGACACGAAGAAATTGAAGAGAGCCTTCCGCAGCAAGCAAGCAAGGGCCATGCCATCTTGTGAGTATTATTTTGCCACGTAGTATCTCCGGATTCCACAAGAAGAATGAGGATTCTTGTCCTATTAAAAAAAGAATGAGGATTCTTTTTAAGACCTTAAATCTTTACAATTAATTTGAAAAATCCTGTAAAACTAAGTAAAAAATTTCAGAAGACAAGTTAGAACCATTGCAAGTATGAGTTAGAAAGAATCATTGTCAATTGAAATTTTCTTTTTCCTTTTGTTCATTCTTCACTTTTTAAAACTTCGAAAGTTAAGTTGAAAAAATTATGTAGATAAATGCAAAATGTTAGAAAAATGAGTATGAAAAATGCCTGATAAAATATAATCCCAACTTGTTTTTTTGGACAAAATAATTCCAACTTAATATTCCAAAATTTTTAACTTCACTCTAGAATTTTCAATTCACGTAATTATGGATATTTTGTTGATTATTTTTTTCCTAAACGTTAGTAAATAACCAAAGACTTCAATTAAAATCTCAAAATTTTAAAATTTTAACATTATCCTTTGCTTGTTCCTGCAATATAAAAAAACTAAAATATAAAAGACAGGTTTAAGCGTCAGAGTCACAAATTTCACAATATAATAAATTAAAATTTGAGAAAAATATAGTAATAAAAAATGTAAAATTAAATATGTTTAAGTTTCAAGGCATCCACGCAGCTCTATATAAAGGTTTGAAGCAAATCTTGGGTATCGTTGGCAGGAGTTACGGGTTCATAACTGGGAATGGGACAAATCATCGAGACGAGTTCTTCTCTTTCGTGCAGGTAACGTTGTTACCTGTTTCAGTGGGGAGTGTTTGAAGTAGACACTGATGAACTTGTCCTTAGCTTCTTGGTCATTGGTTCTTCTGGGGACAGGAATTACGTGAGCAACATCTCTTCTCTGTCTCTACACACACACACACATATATTTTTTGAGCTGAGCAACATCTCTTTCCAATTAAGCTTTCCACTCACTAATTTGTTTGTTTACACACACATATTAGTTCACATGAACGTAAACAATTTTAATATATGTAACTAGAAGAGAAAGAGAAGCAAGGAACCAGAATGTGAGAGGAAAGCATACTTTCTTGTGTTCTGGTACAAGTTAACAAGCTCACCACCTGATTTACTTGCATCTAGCAAGACAAATACAAAAAAACTACTTGGCTCAGAACAAAATGGTATGCCAAATCGTTCCATGACTTGGTACACCTGTTACGCAACATAATTTGTCAGTCTCTCATATGTCCGTATTACTGATAAGCTTCACTAAAATTTATCCTTATAACTGAAGCATCCAGGTCCGAGTAAGGGATAAATTCCCAAAAACAATTAAAAAGAAAAAACCACAAACTGGGAGTGTTCATTAGATACAGTGTCGTTTCGCCAAGTTGGCAGAGCTTTCAAAAGAAAGATCAGGAGTAGCCTTCCCCCTTTCCTTCCTTCTTTCCATCCTCAACTCTTCCCACAACGTAATAGAAAGTGTATAATGCTATTGCTCTTGAATCGCCCAAACAGCCACCACCAAACGGCCAGAAAAAAACCAACAGCGTCCCTCATATAAAACTGGGAAAAATACTTTTGAGCAACTCTAAGCAATCCTTGAAGCACGAAGGTCCGCCAAGAGTGTACCTCGTCAAGTGAATGGATAGAAGTTTGAGAATAGCAGACTGCCAAGAAAAATATATGCTGCAGAGTATGCCCAAATTATACGTCCCCATATACGATATTTTGCATGTGATGTCATCATATATGACGCGAACCAATAAAGAGGAGGGCTGGCAGACAAGAAACGGGTGGCAACCTGTTTGATGTGAATTCCCACAGTCACGTAAGAAACTAATCTCAGAACTAGGTTCCCCAAAAATGATGAATAGCAAAAGTTGAACAAGTCAACAATTTCAGGTAATTCACATGTTCAGTTCTTATGATATAATCAAAGCAGAAGCTGATAATAACATTAACACTAACCTGTACATGCATGACAAGAAATGCAGTGCCTGCCATAAATACCAAGTGTAATACAAACGGTAGAACAGAGGCAGACAAGTATCCCGGCTTAGCGGCTGGCTCAGATTTTATGTTAACAACAGTATCATCTTGTTGGACGGCATTCCTTCTCCTTCTAAGATTCAAACTTTCTGTTACAGAATAGAAGGTTGAAAATCATGTGATTAATGGTAGAAAAGTATAAGAAGTAATACTAATCTATTCATGAGAGATTATACATGCTTGTGTCTCAGAATAAAAAAGGATTAATCATCAATGCCAATGTGTACATCATCAAATAAGGGTGAATTGAGTTAAAACGAAAATGGATGAACTATATTTGCGAATTAATAAATTTGACCACCACATAAGAAACTGCCAAAGCAAATCCCTTGGATAAAAGTTACTTCCTTTTTAAAAAAAAAAAAAATCAAATTTACTTCTAGATATGCCTACTATATCAAATAGTTGAACACAATAATCTAGTTGAATATTAAGGAGTTATACCTTCTGACTCTACAGAGGATGTCTCCAGTGTGGAGGCTGCATTTGACCTTGAAATGTCATCTGAAAGAAACTCAGCTTCAAAATTCTTTTGCTCCGTAGAAATTTGAAGCCCAAGTGAAAAGAAGCACTGAGGCCTTGACTTAGCATAATAGTAAATTGAGCAAAATGCCAGAAACAGAATCGGGGATGCAAGCAGAAAGTTCGGCAATTGTTTCAACTGAAAGTATCTCAAGAAACCTACACCCCTGGAGACACTTAAACAATTACACTGGATGCTTGATTATTTAACCTCAAACTTTTTCCTATACTCTTGCATATGAAGCCTCTTCAATTGCTTAGACAGTAAAGATTCACATGCATTCTAATATAATAGGAAAGAGATGCTAGAGTACAATAAATAAAAGATGAATTCATTAGCCAGATTAACAATACTAGAGCAAATTGAAAACCAACATACCAATAATGACTCTGGATGTAGTTGTAAAGCAATGGTACCCTTGCCTTGCACCAGGGCCTTAATTCATCATGAGAACGCCCAACACACATGTTGTGATATCCATAAGCTTGGAAAGCTATGAAAGGGGCAAAAATACATGCACTCTGAAAAGCTCCAGAAATAACAACCAGTAATGCCAACTGGAGAGGGGGGGAAAAAAAAGCATGCGTTACAATAATCATGACTCTCAGATTTCATGATGCAATCTAATCTTGCAGGATTACAGGTGTATGAAGAAACAATATTTTAACACATTGCCAAAATATATCATACCATTTGACATGACCAATGTTTTAAGAGAAGGGCAGGCATGAGAGCTCGCAGGGAAACCTGAGAATATGGAGGCTTAGAGATCAAAGTGGAGATGAAATCAATTATCACAGTTCACACACAAATGAAGGAGGAGGAGGACAAGAAAAAGAAAGAAAGAAAAATTACACATCCACGTTTCATGTTAAATACCAGTATAATACGACTCTTTGATTCAAACCGCGTGCAGTTGGTCCATGGCATGAATCAACATTAGAAACAAGATCAGAATTCACCAACTACATTTCCCAGAGGAAGAGTTTTCATATTTTTCTCATTTCTCTCTCTTTGTGTGAAGTAAGCAACGAAGTTAAACAGGAAAAAAATATATATAGTTAGAGCCTGTTTAGAATCACGTTTGTAAATACTTATAAGCACATTTTACTTAAGCTGAAACAAAACTCTTCTTACATCCTTACTTTGTATTCCGTAAATCACAATTGAAAAACTGCTTATAAGTCATTTCAAATGGGCCCTTAGTCAAATTACAACACATAGCAAGGGAAGTAAGGACCATATCTAACTATACTCCCATAAAGTTTTCAATTTTTCATACAAGTAAGCTATGGAGCTACTCATATAAAAGGAACAAAAGACAAAGACAAAAGGAGAGGGAGCGAGGATGAAAGAACTCACACAAGCTTGTCTTTTCTGGAACACAGCATCATATGCCAGATGCATTGTCTGATAACAGAAATAGCCAGCATTCAGAACCCCATTTGACCTTGCAAGACCAGAGAGAGCTAGAAAAACAACAGCTAAACTATTTCCACCAGAGATTAAGTGGTACAACCCTCCAAAGGAAAGAAAAGCATACAAACTTTCTGTGTATCTGCAATTGCAAGCATATAATTACTTTAACCAATGAAAAGGTCATGCAAGGCTAAATTATAACATATAAGAATGAAAAGATTACATTGATGAATAAAATATAGAGGCCGGATTGAAGCAGAATAAAATTGAAGCCACTAATGATACTTCAGGGTCCTTCAATATAGAAACTGATAGCCTGCAAGAGTTACAACCACTAAAATCAATAATAATCAATGTTTTCCAATATGACACTGCCCACTTGACTTATATATTAATTCAAAATATAGAAAAACGAATTGATGGACATCAAACAGAAATCATCCATATATTCAAGAAGTGTGTTCGTCTTGTTCTGTTGAAGAAGAATCAAGTGATGTATTTCTTTCTGGCCTTTGCCCAAGGAATCAAATTTGTTTCAACTATGGGATTACAATTGTGTCTGCTTGATTCAATAATATCTTTGCAGCAATGGCTCACTTCTAACCACGTCTTGATGATGAAGTTCAGAGAAGAGTCAGTTTTTTTCTTCATCCTGAGATTAGTTTTATACATCTCATGGAAAGTGGCGTGCTGACCTCCCTTGATTCAATTTTTCCCTTTCATTTTGATTTTTAAATTAGACTTTCTTTCTATTTACTGAGCCTTGTACATGGTCAAAGAATAACAACACAGAATTATGGGTTTTCAATCCGAAGTCAAACCATATATAATGCATAAATAAAATAAGAAATTGACACTCGACCAACTCACTTGTAAAAGTAAAGAGCTGCAACTACAAATGCAACATTAGTAATTAGATAGCCACATACTGCCAGAACAGCTCTTTCACCAATTAACGGTATTAAGGGGGCAAAAACTGCAGCAAATTAGAGAATAACTTAGGCCATACAGAATCCAAATGAAACCACGTCTAACTAAAACCAAATTAGTAAACAGAAAAGGAATGTTTTCACACCTGTGCGAGACAAGAAGGAAATGCAAATAGGAAGGAGAGGTAAGAAGGCATAAGATTGCTCATACTCATAGCCACACTGAGCAATACGGACAAAGTAGACAGAATCCCAAACTATTCCATCTTCAATGGCAGAACACAAGCTTGGATAAAGCACATTTGAGCAGGAAGATTCGTGGCCAGGCTTAGTATTGGATCTCGTGAGGCAGTCAGGGTTTAATGATGCAGAGGTGTCATAGGGGGAAACAAGCAGCCGAAAGATGATGATTAGTAAGAAGACAAGAAGCCTTGACAGTATTGCAGATTTTAATACTATGGTTGTACGAGCCGTCAATGTTGATATGCTATTTGCCATTTTAGAAAGAAAGAGAGACCAAACAGATAATATAATCTCCAAGGGCTTCAGATACAGGAACAAGTTATGGCACTATGATGATCAGAATTGTCCACGCTGCAACCAGAAATAAAATCCATCTGCAACATGAGAACTGACCTTCAATGGGAGCAATTTAAATGCAGGAAAAAATAATCTTTTTGGACCAGAATTAACTTCGTTATAAAACCATTCAAGTCAGCAAGCAAAATTTTTCGTGCGGTCATATGAAAGTCTCTCAATAGTTCACCAAAATAAATGATTCGGAAGCACCGTGCCTGCGCGCACCTACAAAGATAAATGGGCCTTTCAGATTCCAGAGAGTAAACCAGGATCGGGGGAGAACTAATAATGAATGTGAAAGAGAGCGAGCAAAGAGAGCACCTGAATTCACCAAGCAAGCTCAGATTATTATGAACTGAAATGTTAGTTCAGGACTTGAATGACAAAAGGGGGAAGAGAGCAGTTTCTCCAATCTTCAAGGCCGCTACCAGCTACTCCGACGAGGGCGCAAGGGATCTTCGACGCCGTTCATGCCGCCCGCGAAACTATATTTGGACTTCACCGAGTAAAAATAAAAAAATAAAAATGTTTAACAGTAAAACAGCTAACCTTAAAGCTATCCGACTTTCTTCCTCCTTTACCCCCAAAGACTTCCTACCTCTGTTCATACATCACTTTCCTAAAAAGATTGAGAATATTATTGAGATAGATTGTTTTCGGAGATGAAGTCTCTCAGATTAAGGAGCTGAATCTGTGAGTCTCCTTGACAAGGATCCTAGGATTCCCCAATAAGAAAAGGAATCTATGGTACATTTGTTGGGACTGAGGGTGTAATAATGTGCATAATAAAATTCCTCTTAGATTTTTCAAGGGTTAAAGAGTTGGCCTTTTGTGGCGAGCCAGGAAAACTTGGAGGAAAAGGTCCTAGGGCTGGTAAAACGGGCACATCCGCGAGTTGTGGGTTGGCCCGTGACGAGTTGCGGGTTATTTAGGTCGGGCTCAAAAGGCCTATTTTCTACGCGGGTTGGTATTCTGCCAATCCTAACCCGCCAAGGTGGGTTGGCGGGTCAACCCACCAACCCGCCAGATTTTTTAAAAAAATTTCTCATAAATAATAAAAAATTAAAAAAGTCAGAAATGATTTAAAGTATTCCAAGCATTCAAACAAAATTACAACACATTAAAACACAAAATATACAATTGTCCAAAGTTCAAACTCCAAACATGGTAAAACACAAGTTCAAACATAAATTTTTCCTACCTTTACAACCTACCTCCTGATATTTTAATATGTATAAAAATAAAAAAAAATTTAGGCGGGTTGGCTGATTCAACCCACCAACCCGCAAGCTGACCCACTGCGTGCTCGGATTGTGGCGGTGCGGGCTCATATTTTTCAGGTGATGGTTTGGCCAACCCTAACCTGCCTCTTTTAGCAAGTTGGCGGGTTCGACCCGCGGGTCCAACCCATATTATTGGCTCTAAAAGGTCCAAGAGAAAGACAGGAGGAGTCTTCTCCTCTACTTGGTTCATTAAGTACGGATAATGTTTTTCCAAATTTCTTCATTAATAACTTTTCATCTTTTAACCATAAAGGGGAAGTAATCCAAAAATTCAGATGGTTATATCTGTGTAAAAATTTCTATAAGCACCTTTGTCATGACACCTGTAAAAAGTAAATAAACAGAAAAGTTTTTCTGCTTTGAGGATGATGCGTGCCAAATATTATATTGATGAAGGATATTATAAAGTTTTCCTTTCCAATAAAGAAGTTGAGTAAGCATTTCAAAGAAGGTGACAATATGAGAATTTTGGTTTCTTGAGTCACATAAATGGTGGTATATGGACATGGCTAAGAAAGCAATAGCACAAGCGTAGTTGGTTGAGAGGGACCAAATATACCATAAAAGTTCTTCTGGTATTGGCCCTTTGATAATGGGAATGATGTGGTACTGAGCATTAATGTCAAAATGTTGAGGATATAGGTATATTCCAGTGTTCATGAAAAGAAGGTAGAGCTAGTAGAACATAGAGCTTCTGGCAAGGTTTTGGACGTCCGTTGGGGTTTCAGGACAGGATCTAGGAGGGCAAATGGTGGCTTTCATTCTGTGAGGCATTTCTGGTTCAGAAATGGTTAAGATATAGAGTAAATGGTGTGGTGTGGAGAAGGTTGAAGGGTTTGATATTTGGAGAGTTTTTTGGGGTTTAGAGAGATAGTTTGCAATGGGTTCTAGTTTCCTTTGAGATGATGGACTACGAACTTATAGCTAGAAAACCAGTGTTTCTATCAAAGTAATTAGCTATTTGGCAAGATCTTTCCCTTCCGATTAAGCATCTTGAAAAAAGACATATTGTCCATTTCTACTCTGAATTGATAAGGACTGATACAGAAACTGAATTTCTCAATTGCTCTTTTGACTGTAAAAATCTCCTTGTAGGTAGCATGATAATGCTTTTCTGACTCTTTGAATTATTCACTTGCATGTTCACAGTAGAATCTTTTTCCATTTACCTCTTCAATTAAAACAGTTCACAAAAAATCATCACTGGCATTAGTCTGTAGGATTCGCAATCCTTTGTCAGGAATCTTTAAAGGAGGTGGATGCTGAGCAATTCTTTTGAGAATCTGGATAGTTGTAGTCTGATCTGTCCCCTGCGCGGGAGGATTCTTTTTTAAAAGTTTAGACAGCTGGCTGGTGTGATTGGACACATGAGAAATAAAGTCTCTAATGCCACGTTTGGTATGATGGAATTGGGAGGTATGGAAATGGAAATGGAATTGATTTCCATCAAGATGTTTGTTTGGTATGATGGAATTGGAAAATTTTCCAATTCCATTTCCACCAAAAGTGGTGGAATTGGCCTCCACCCTCACACCCCAAGATTTGTAATTCCATCTCCCTACTTTTGTTTTTACCCTCCTTAACCAGATGCAAGCGAAAGTCCGAAGGCCTTCAAGCTTATCGCCAGCGACTACCCACCTTTGCTCCAACGACCTTCAAGCTCATCACCGGCGACTACCGACCTTTGTTCCGACAGCCTGAAGGCGATAGTGACAACTACCTCTTAGAAGTCTTTATCTTTTGACCCAAACTCTGTTCGCCTAATCTTCAAACTAAGCTCTGATTTTATAGTTTCAAATCTGACAAAATAGACAAAACCATTGAAAAATTAACCTTTGAAAACATGGGTCGTCAGTTCTAAAGAAATCGTTTGTTCCGAAGCTCGATCAATTTTTGCATCTGTGAAGAAAAATGATTTTTACTTCTTTGGTTGAAGTTCCATCAATTTTTGCATATCAGAAGAACCATGATTTTTGCTTCTACATGTGCGTTTCTTTTTCCTGGTGCTAATCGATGCTTGTAGATTGATTATTTACACCACATTGTTGATGATGTTGGGCAAAGACTTCTCGATGTTAGATTCAGGTGGCGGAGGAGGTGCTTTTTCTTTTTTGAATTCTTGAGGGTGTTTTAGTATTTACACATTTTAATATATATTTTAATTAAAATTTAAATTACATTTCGATACTTATACCAAACATGTTTTCAAACCTCATATCCATCTCCATTTCCATTTCCATATCCATCTCCATCTCCATTTCAGTTTCCATCAAAATCAATTCTATGGTACCAAACGGGCCCTAAGATAATTGATAATCCCCAAGAGTTGCTGAATTTGCTTTGTTATGAGATCCTCATCTAGAAACATGAGCTGTTCTTCTGGAATATGTGGTCCAGGATAATAATGGCCATTTTCAAAATTCATTCCAAGGAATTTTACTCTTTTGATACCTATTTCACCTTTCTTCGTCGATAACATGACCCCATATTTTTCAATTATTTCTTCGAATTGGGTTAATAAATGCTTATTGGAATCTTCTTCTTTTGAGAAAAACAAAAAGTCATCTATATAGATGAGGAGGTTATTAAGAATATGTTCAAAGATTCTAGTCATGGCTTTTTGGAGCAGTGATGGGGCGACCTTGAACCCAAATGGCATAACATTTTCAGCATTCCTTTAAAGAACTTTTGTTGTTTATAGAGCTTATCTACAGTTGCTAATGCTAACTGATAGATTTCTCCTATAGAAATGTCAGTCATGTTTTTATGGAGTGCATTGATAGCTCCATGAAGTTCTGGTTGTAGTTCATCTAGAAGAGAAGTAATAAAAGTATGCTTGAGATTGACATCATTGGCTCTTCCTAGCATGTAGTATTTTTCAGACATTCTTTGGAAGTGTTTCTACAAATCTCCTTTATCTAAAAAACAAAACTTCATCTCAAAATACTCTTAACGATGCCTTTTATCAATGATTTTGAAATCACTAATAAATTCTTTATGAATGAATCCCAAGAGAGTTCCTGCATTATCAACTTTGGCTGATGCAAGTTTCTAGTAATCACCAAGGCTTTGAAATCATTCTCTAAGTGTTCCTGTAAGTCTTGAGAGAAATGCTGTGAAAACTTTCTTAAGATTTGTATCATGTCTAACAAGCTGTAGATCAACCTATGCTCCAACTCATAGAGTCTATCTCTTCATTTTTTTCAAAGGAAAGTAATCAAAAGTGAACTATGGACTTGTAGTTAGCTTGTAATCTGTTCTTCTTGAATTAGATGGATTTGAGAGAAAAGGTTCTCCGGCAGAGGGATCTTCGACTATAGGATCTAGCTGTACTATTGCTATTTTAGAAATATCAGCGTGATATGTCTCAGAGTCGGAGCTAGAATCATATTCAGTGGAAGGGCTAGACTCAATTTCTAATCTGTCAATTGATAATGATTGAGATTTATTTAAGGATTAGAAAGTGGCTATGGTTTTGTTTGGATCAACAACTTCTTTTTTCTTTTATTTATCTGGGGGAGAAGTTTGTTTTGGTGGAGAAGATGGAGGGGTTGTGATTGTAATTCCTTGAGAGAGTGGTATAGGTTCAGTAGTTTTAGTATAAGAAGGCAAGGGTTGGAAGGGATTTTCAGATGAAGGAAAATGATGAGGTCTTACTGGAGGTTTGGGAAAAAGATTTGGTTGTATAGGCGGAAGAGTTGGTTGAGGTTTTCTTAATTATCTTAAAATGGGATAAGATATTTTAAAAACCTTGCTATAATCAAATTCCTTTGGATAAGAGACAGGTAATGTTAGATAAGTAGGAATTTGGAAGCTAAAAGGATAAGATGGATATGTTTTATAGATGGTTTGTGAGTAATCATTTGTAATATCCAGTTCAATCTTTTATAAATCCTTTTGGATCTGTGACAATTTCTGCTCCTTCCTGGTAAATTCTAGTCTAATATCAAATTTGTATCCCATTGATAAGCCTAAAAAGACACGGTCATATAGAGTTGTTTGACCTGATTAGAAACTTGATCAAGTCTGCTTGTCAAAATATCAGTTTTGAGAGTCAAAAGGTCAAGCTTTGAATCAACCTTTGTCAAAGTTCTATTCTGACAAATTGCATTTTGGGTCTATCGATTAAGTACTTCTTTTACAATAGAGACTGATCTAGCTTCACCAGTGGGAGAAACTTTTGTAGAAACTGAGGAAAGTTTTGCTGAAACCTTTGTTTTCTTGTTGATTCTTCTTTCCAGAGGGGAAAACTCTTGTTCATAAGGATCCATCATCGCCATACAAGAAATAGGTTATTAGATGACAGGAATAACTGGATCTAGCTTTTGTTTAAGAAGAAAATCTTCATGACCTATTTCTTTAAGTAGATCATACAGAGATAATTCACTAGAAGAAACAGTGGAAACAAGAAGTTTCCAGTTTCTAATTTTTTGTATTGGGTCATGATCATTATTATCATCATCATGATGTTTATGATTCTTTTGAGAACAAGAAGATGCATAAGTCTTCCTTTTCCCCCCCTTCTTTGCTGCATATCTAACGAGA